CATTTACTTACCTGTATGACCTCAGGAATGTCATCTAACCTCTTCCCTTGCCCCTCAGGCCTCAGTTTCCTCATCTGTAAAATGAGGGAGTTGGAGTAAATGACTTCAGAGTTCCCTTTTAGCTCTGATCTATGAACCAATGGAGTCAGAACTGTCCAATGAGGTCATGTACGCACCTTGTAAATGTAGGCAATTATGAGCACTTAAATAGAATAGTTCACGGCTTATTTAACAGACCTTTTAATAAATTCTAGAAAAATAGAGTATGTGATACTGAGAGCTTTTAAGTAGTCTATTTTGTGATACACCTCTGAATGTAGGCCTTGAAACAGACCCCAAAACACATCTCAAGAATACAGCTTAGAGGGGCAGCTAGGTGGCACAGTGGATAGAGCTCCGGCCCTGAAGTCAGCTTCAGACCAAACACTAGACACTTACTAGCTGTGTGACCCTGGGCAAGTCACTTAACCCCAATTGCCTTAAAAAAAAGAATACAGCTTAGAAGTGGGTGGATAGGAATCCCACAGGTGTCCACTATCATCGTGTCTGACCCTGAGTTCCAGTGAGTTTGGTAAGAGATCAAGAAATGAGGAAGGAAGGAAGGATTCAATACAAGACATAACTTCAACATGATCAGGAGCTACTGTGCTTGGAGAGAGCACTGAGTCTAGAGTCAAAAGACTTGGTTCTGAATGCCAACTCTGATGCCCATTACCTGTGTGACCACTGGAAAATCACTAAGCTTTCCTCCTCGTTAAAATGAGGGCAATCTTATGATTATTTGGGGACATTTTCAAGCAGAATATAAGTAAATGTGCCCATTTTATCCCTTGGAAGGGAGAGCTGGGCAGAAGACCCAAGAAAATGGTTGGATTCTATCAGTTAAATATTGTTATTCAGTCATTTCAGTTGCGTCTAACTCTTCATGATCCCATTTGGGGTTTTCTTGGCAGAGATGCTGGAGTGGTTTGCCATTTCCTCCTCCAGCTTATTTTATAGATGAGGAAACTGAGGCAAACAGGGTTAAGGGACTTGCCCAGGGCCATCCAGCTAGTCAGTATTTGAGGTCAAATTTGAACTCAGGAAGATGTCTTCCTGACTTCAGGCTCTGCTTTCTATGCACTATGGCGCCACCTAACTGCCCAACCAGTAAAATAGGCCATCCATAATTGTTAATATCACATTTTCCTCATAATAAATATGGTGAAAGTGAGCCAAAACACAAAAATAGACATTTTGATTTTCACAGAAGCCTGGTCTCACCTCCCAAAGGCTAATTTAATGCCAACTGATCACACAAAGAAAAACGTCTTTTAATGCTACGAGGAATCCCTGGATATTAAGAAAGATCCTTTTATGATTTCCCAGGTAGGATATGTCCAGGTAGTATGGCGTGGAGGACAGAGTGAGTGCTGGACTTGCTGTCAGACCTGGATTCAAATCCCACCTCTGACATTAGCTGGATGATCTTGGACAAATCCCTTTGCCTCTCTGATCTTCAACCAACTCTCTAGGGCTTTAAGTTATAGATAGGCTGATGTGGGCTGGTAGAAAGAACTCTCATGATGATGGAATCTCTTTGGAGATCACTTTAGAGATGGAAAAAAATCAATTAGTCCAACACTTTCATTTTACAGATGAGGAAAATGAAGTCCAGCAAGGAGAAGTGACTTATTTCCAAATCTAATATTCTTTCCATTTCAATTTAAAATAACAACAGTTATATAGTCATGAAAAAAAATCAACACCAGAAGATACTGCCAGTATAAAAGGGTTTCTAGACACGATGTTGAAAGATAATCATCAGGAAGTACCTAATTAATTATGCTTGGAGTGGTTTCTAGAAATCCTCACTTCTTTAAAATTCATTTAGTTTTTCTATTCACCAGAGCAAAGGGCTTGTCATACTAGTCAGTTTTCCAAAACAGTAGCAAACATCAAATTCAGGGTAAGAATCTGCTTCCAAGATTTACTTTCTTTCTCCCCTCACCACACACCCCATAACCTCAGTTATTATAACTTGTCCCCATTCTTGAATCAGATGAAATCAGTGAAGGCTGGCCTTTTAAAAAGGAGACCTTCATCTCCACGGTCCTCCCGTGCCAAAGGAGGCTTTGTTTAATAGACCGTTCCCTTTTTCTCCATAGAAATTACAATGGACAGTAACAGTGAAGGCGGTCGGTCTCGGTCAGGTAGTGAGGGAAATATTCCCTCTGTAAAAGAAGAAGCTTATTGTCGCGGCATGGGTGGACACAGAATACGGCCTCTGCATCGTGCCATGACCCCTGACCTTAGACACGGTATGCCAGAACTTCTTCCTCCTTTATCACAAAGACGCATCTTCCAACTGCGTGTTAATCAAACTCCGTGTCTGTGACAACATTGTATGTCAGGGCCCGACAGGAGGCCAAGGGGGTATCATTGCAGGTAAGTTTCTGGCCCTCAGTCCATTCTAATCCCCAAGAGAAAATGGAAAAAAAAAGCCTCAAACTTCTCACTCCAGAAAATTTTTTCATAATCATTTTTTTTTTAAGCTAGGAACACATCATTTCATGAACCTCTGTGAAATCATCTAGTCTCCTGCCATAGCTGTTTGACTTTCATAAACACACAGCAGAGTACCTCCAGAGCGTAGGTGCTAAATAAATGTTTATCAATGGACCTAATGTGGATTTCTTTAGCAAAACATTGATATACAGATATACAGATACACAGAAGCATCTTTTGCCCAGCCCTGAACTTTCCCATCCAGGAGAATCACACCTTACCTACCCACTCATTAACGCAACAAAATTAATCAATCAGCAGTTATTTATTAACTGGCTCTTTATGTGCCAGGTACTATGCTGGGTGCTGGGGACACAGAGTTAAAAGTTAAAAACAAAGAAAACAAAGCATACTCCTAGCCTTCAGAAACTTACCAATTTGCTGGGGGATACAATGCCTACAAGTCATAGCAGTGTGACATCCAGGGAAAACAAACATTTTAAGTTACTAGATTTGAATCTTTATACCAGAACATCCCCAGCCTCAATCAAATAACAGGCCAGGATAAGAAAAAAATGATGTTTAAAGGTCCTGTTTCATACCTGGGGGCAATTAAAAAACAAATCATTAAAATTTTGTTTTGCCTGGAAAAATTATAAATTATAAAAAAATTGTATATGTTATATTATAATTATATATGTAATTATGTGTTACATACAAATTATATGTACATTATATATAAATTATAAAATATATAATTATACATTAGAAAAAAGTTATTTACCAAAAAAAAATTATAAGAACCCAAATGGCAGAGGTATTCGAATCCTCACTGCATTTAGAGTACACGAATTCATTGAGAAAATTACATTTTTTTTCACTGAATGAATTTGGGGATTATCCTTCTAGTATGACTCATAAATATTTAGCATCTGTATGGCCCCTGAAGACAATCATAGAGGCAGAAAGGAATACACAGTAATCTAAAGAAGAAGATCTGGTTGGAGTAGGTGAGAAGTAGGAACCAGGAAAGGTTTTGTGGAGAAAGTGGCCCTTGAAAGACGCCTGGAAGGGACATGAACATTCAGCCCTTGAAAGAAGATTATTGCCTTTAGGAAAAAAAAAATACAAGCCCTTTGGGTGCTGTCCTCATTTATTCACTTCTCTTACATGCTTTTGTCTTCTTCTCCTCTCCCTTCTTCTGTGTGTATATGTGCATGTGTGTTGGTGCTAAACTTGACTGTCCTTCCAACCTCCTCACTCCTGAATTTTCCCATCTACCTTCCTCCTGCTGCTGTGAACCTTAGGACAAGAAGAGTATTTACCATACATCAGTCATCTCCCGTCAACCCACTACTGTGCATGTGTAGCTATATAGTTATACATATAATGTCATTCCATATATATGTATCTATATGCAAACATATGCATATGTTATTTCAGTTTTCCAACCAAAAAATAAATAGGCAACCGGTAAAAAAAAAATCCAACTTGTATTTGCTCAAAAAGTTGAAACACTGATGATGATGGCAAATAGTCATGACAGATTGCCATTTATTTCCAGGACTAATAATATTACCTACTGGCTCAGTAATAATGAGTTAACCCTTGTTTATTTACATGTGGCATGGTGAATAGAGAGCTAGCTTCAGAGCCAGGGAGACTTGGGTTCAAGCCTTGCCTCTTGCACACACTAGTTGTGTGACTTTGAGCAAGACATTTCCTTATATGACACAGTGCTCTAGAATCTAGAAAACTCTCTAAAGACAGCAAGTTACAGAGAAGGTACTTGTGTGAATTGGGGGGAAGGGGTTTCCTACACCATTGAAATCATTGGTCCAGTCCCCATTCCTATCTAATTACTTATATATCTTAGCTATTTAAAAAATTAATATTCATTATCCCATATTCCAAAGGTTCTATGATCTCATCAGTGTGGGCACTGTCCCTCTGACCATGTAAATTACAATCCATCCAATGCCTGCCTGTCCTGTGACTCTCACTCATATATTCCCATAAATAAGAAATACTAAAACAAATATGGCACTAGGGAAAATGCTGGTTACCAAAATGAAACATAAATTATGCTGTTGGTTTTGACTTTTATGTTACAAAAAAGGCAAGGCCATCAGTTTGGGAAATGGATTTCTCCTGTCCAGAGTTTCTGATCCAAAAGGATCCACCCAAAAGAAAACGCAACTGCCCCTTCCTCCTATGGCATGTCAGCTAACACCAGAGAGAGGAATGATAACTATTTCATATTATTTTCTGCCTAGACCAATGAATGTCTTCTGACTCAAGGTGGTTTATTTTAATATGCTCTCATTCTTAATTAAATTAATTTTCATATGCAAGAAAAGGCAAACAAAAGAAAGTGTCCAACAAGGTTTCTAGCTGGAATTTGATTTGAAATCGAATTTCCTAGCCAAGCAGAGATGAATTTCTCAATTCAGCCAAGGGGTGGAATAGACAAGAACCACCAAGTTCTATGTTTCTTTACATTATGCTTCTAGATGGTTACTGCAGCCGGGATCGACTGTCTCCAGACTTGTATGAGGAGTCTGAAACAGACCCCGGCGCCGAGGACCTTTCAGTCCGAATATTTGTCGCTCTCTTTGATTACGATCCACATACGATGTCTCCCAATCCTGATGGGGCAGAAGAAGAGTTACCATTTAAGGAAGGACAGATCATTAAGGTACAAGGGGATAAAATACCACCACCACCACTACCCTCTTCTTTATCCCTTCATGCCTGCTGAAGTTTTCCTTTTTCCTCCATGGGAAAAGTGGTCAACCCAGTGCTTTCCAAAAGAACCTTGATAGCTGTAACATTAACTGAACCCAATGATTAATCAGCTCCCAATTTTAAATACATTTGGTAGCTAGATTAAATGAATGATTCACAATGCCATTAGCAAGGCAATATAAGAGTTTGCATAATTTAAAGACTGCCATTATTTGTGTTTTTCAAAATTCATTTTGAGAATTTTCATGGCCAAAGAATTAATCACTCAGTGATAACCTACTGGCTAATGAACCTCTTCATACTTCTCCTTGGGAAGCAGATACAATTTATTGCCAGGATATACTCATAGTTTATCCAGCTTGGCAGGCCCTGCTAGCCTCAGGGTTCTTGGCCTTTCTTTGTATTACAGACCACTTTGGTAACCTGGCAAAGCCCTCTGGATCCTTTCATAGACTGATGTTTTAAAATTTATAGAATAAAATATGTAGGATTACAAAGAAGACCAGAAATATAATGATCAAAATATATTTTTTAAAGTTCATAATTAAGAATTCCTCACTTAAAGAGCTTGCAATCCAAGCCATTTAGTATTTATTAAGTGCTTGCTATGTGTAAGGCAAGAGGCAGCTATAGAAAAGTGGATAGAGAGCAAGTCTCAGTCAGGAAGACCTGGGTTCAAATCTAGCCTCTGACAAATACTGGCTGTGTTACCCTGGGCAAATCATTAACCTCTCAGTAATCTAGGCAACTCTCTAAGGCCATAAATTGTAGAAAAGGTGATGACAGCTTGTGTTGGCAGAGGAAATTTTGTCATCTGGGATTTCCCAATACCAAAGAAAAAAGAGGTCCAGTATTCACTTCTATGAATGAAACGAATGAAGGCTTTATTAGGTGTTCTAAAGCACTGTTCTAAACACTTGAATAAAAATACAAAAGTAAGACCATCCTTGTTTTTAAAGAGGGGGAGACAGTCTACTAGGGGAGATAAAACTTATAGAACTATGAGATCTATCCCACTATTTATGTATTTTAACAACAATATATTAGTGATCTCATCAATATCTATTCCCTATACCTAGGAATAATATACCATGTGAGGTTCTAGGAATACAAAGACCAAAAAAAACCCAACTAGTCCCTGCCCTCAAGGAAGGTGTCCACATATAACACCATGACTCTTGAACACCATTTAGGTTTATGGAGACAAAGATGCTGATGGCTTCTACCGTGGGGAAACCTGTGCCCGACTCGGCCTTATTCCTTGTAACATGGTCTCAGAAATCCAAGCTGATGATGAAGAAATGATGGACCAGCTCCTTAAACAAGGCTTTCTCCCTCTGAACACCCCCGTGGAAAAAATAGGTAAGGGGCAACCCACAGCCCAGGGGTTAGAGGCTGTTGCCTTCGCTAGTCCAGCTTTTGCTCCTCTAATTTTATAGCTGAATCCCAGGCCAATGGCCAGCACAGTAGAGGATCTGTTCTGTGTCCTTTAATTGTTGCAAATTCTTTGGGAAATGGGAACATCAACGTGCCTTGGGCAAGATCAACTTGTCAGGGCAAGACTTGGGGGGTCTTACTGGATATCTCAAAGACCAAAAGGGTCCTGAACACAGAAGACCCCTCTGCTTGACAGAACTCAATGCTGCAATATTGCTTGCCCATACCTAAGAGTCCCCCAGCTAGAAAGCATAAAATAACTATTTGTTTATTATGCTTTTTTTTAACTCTTTAAACATTATCCTATCTACAACAAATGGGAAAGGATGATGACAAAGGGTTATTTCATCTTTCAAGTTAACACTGTTTATTCAAAAGATTTAAAAGGTTTTTTTGTTGCAGTGGTGGTGGTGGTTTTGTTCTTTTTTTACATATAAGTAACATTTTAATTGGGGTAGGTGTTTGACATTCACTCATTCATCTTAACCTATCACCTCAAACCAATGATCTTAAACCAGTGGTTAAGCGTTGGTTGAAACCATTTTCAGCAAGTCTTCAACAGAATTCTTTTTACATCCCTTATTCATTTTTTTTAAGCAATAGGAAAATCCTCCACCTTCATATGCTCCTTCTAAAACAGCTACAGAAATGGAGATAAAGTCCAGTTTCATGTTATTAAGATCTAATATTTTAATTCTTCTAAAATAGGGTTAAACATTTTAATTCAGAATTCAAGGACCCCCCCCCCCAAATTCTCAAATTTAAAGAATATGTATAACTAAATGCATAATAGTCCATTCCAAGAGACATCCTTTCCTTTTTGGGGTTGTTTATACTTAGACATACTGTTTCAAGTTGAAACCCACACCCAGTGTCCAAGGTTCAAATATGAATATATTTTGCATAATTCTTTTTGCTCCCCCTACCTTGACATTAAGTCCATGAGAATGAAGGTCTTTGAACAGCTTCATGTCTTCTCCTCTTTTTTATTTGTATGCATCCCTTTCCTGAAGTCAACTGTGATCGTTTCAAAGAGAGCGCTCTCTCTGTACACCGCAGATCCAGAAAATCTAAAAGAGGTCTGTGCTAAGAAACAGTAACTTGATTCATGCAATCAATTAGGTGAAATGTTTTGAGTGTCTAGATTGAGTTTTTATGCCTCGTATTTTTCCTCTTTTTCTTTCTTGTTTTTGTTCTTTTTTGTTTGTAGTAAAGGGACCCCTGACATCCAGGCTTAGGTATCTACTTGCCCCACTAACTCCTTAAGAAATGCGCTGAGGGTGATTGTTCTCATTTTCCCAAGGTAGAATGTCCAAGATGAGGGGGATGGGTCCTAATTCTTTCCTTTCACCTTTTGTTTTGAACTTTTCCACTTCTCATACATATGTTCATTTTATTCTCTCTTCCCCCACTTCCCTCCATCTTAATTCTTGCACCTTTCAGCATCACCATAAATGATACACCTTTCCAACTTCCCCGAGTTAGTCGCCAGGTCAGTGGAAAAAGGCCATATAGATATGTACATACACACTTCCTTCTTTTGACCCAGAGTAAAATCCCTCTCACTATGCCTCCCTCTCTCAGCCACCTTCCTTCCACTGCTGATCCCTAGCTATCAGCTGGAGCTTCAGTCCTCAGGTTGTTCCCAAGTTCAGGGTCCCGTGTGGCAGGAAACAATGTCATTCACTAACTCATCTGGCCAGCCCTCAGTGTTTGTTGTAAGTAAAACTAATTAGCATGTTGCTCCTGTATCACCCCATCCACACTTCAAAAGCATCCATGCCTCTCTCATCATCTTAAGATGAAGCATTTCTCCAATTTCCTTGTAATTGTGTCACTTCTATTTTCATATCATATCCAAATTCTGGAAAAAAGAAACCTGTAAGCTTTGGGTGTGCTTTGCTTTCTTCATTTTAAGGAAACACAAATTAGAAGTCTCTGGAAAGGTAACTGTGGTCCCTCAAAAGCAACATGACCAACTCTCATTGCTTCTAAACCATTTGCCTTGGACACATTTTCATTTGTTTGGTACTACCAGGAAAAAAAAATTAATCACTATTAGTAGAATTTTTAAAATAGTGTTGGAGGAGAGGGGATGCCTGTGGCTCTATTTAGGAGGACAGAAGAAATATCCATCTTTCTTCTGGGAGGAAATGCCTTTCACAGAGCTAATTTAGCCACTTCAAATGATTCTCTTGGTGTAAGCTTAACACTAGACTCTATCATCCAAGGTCCAGTCTAGCTAAGATCAGAGAGGAGCCTTACCAAATTGGCTGGAGGGAGATGAATTTTTCAGTCACAGAAACTCACAAAGACCATTTATTAAAGCCTAGAAAGGCTGGGATCTATCTGTGTAGGTAGAGCAAAGTCTCATTCCACCACCACCACCATCACCAGCAATAAACAGATCCTTGAGATGTATGTGTTTGTGTGTGTGCATACACAAATACACACATACACATATATACATATATGCATACATATATGTATATATGGATAAATAGATATAGATATAGGTAGGTATATAGATAGATCTCTTAACCTCTGGTTCTTCTGTCATGGACTCCTTAGGCTGTGTGGGGCTTTAGCCTATGGATCCCTTCTCAGAATGAAATGTTTTTAAAAGATAAAATAAAATTCACAAGATAACAAAATAAGCGAAATGTATTGCAATGAAGATTTTTTCCCATTCAGATTCACGGGCCCTGTGAAATCTATCCGTGTACTCCAGGTTAAGAACACCTTCATCAGACCAGTCATTTCCAAGGGATCACATATATATTTCTAGAATACTTTTCTATGATCTGGATTATCTGAGGTCTGCACAAAGGAATCCCCTTCTATTTCCTGATATAGCTAGAGTATTCAAATGAATTCAATTAATTATTTACTAAGTACCTATTCTTTGTCATATTTTTGTATTAGTCACTAGGGATATAGAGACAAAAACAAAACTATCATCTTTGCCCCCAGGGAATTTACACTTTTCTAGGGGAGGAGACACAACTAATTGTACCAGATAATGTCCTGGGCATGTAGTTATTTATGGGAAAAGTTTTGTTGCATGACTTCAATGTTGGTAGAGCCAAACCCTTGCCAGGTGGCTAGCAGTCCCCTGCTTTGTTCACGAGTTTGCTCTCTCCTTCCCTAAACTTTAGTAATTTAACCTGAATTGGAGGAAAAGAAACAATCCAATGATGAATAATGACCTTTTTAAGGAAAAAAGAAAAACAGGACAAATGAAATCCAAGGCAACTGATGTAAAGGAACAAACAGTCCATTCTGTGAGTAGGTGCTGTGCCTTGGTTGGATCTCGGTCCGTTCTCTTGGATGGAATGGGTCTCTGCCTAGCTTGCTAGATCTTTGACATGGCTGCTGCGTTAGGAAATGCAAACACTGTGCATTTTTTAAAATACTTGATAATCGCTTTCTTCTCCCCTCCCCCTGGAACAGAGAGGAACAGACGGAGTGGCCGGCAGCACCCCACGTCCACGAGAAGAATGGTCGCTCTCTATGACTATGACCCAAGAGAAAGCTCTCCTAATGTTGATGTAGAGGTATTGACTCGCCGCTGTTTTGGTTCCTTCCTACAAAACCCCCTTCCTGCGACCTTGTCTAAAGGGCCCCGTGCAGTGGGATGCTAGAGCCAGCTCTTGCCCGATCAAGAGAGCCAATGGTTAAATCTCCACGCGAGCATTTACACCTTGGAAATTTGCAAATGATTGATGTATTGTGATGGAGAAAATGTTAATGATGTATATTAGACTTAGAAGTGTGCGGTGTGTCCATTTGTTTGGAGAGCTGGTTGTCAACACACCACCACCATCCCATCCATTTTCACCTTTCTTGTTTCCCTCCCGGACATACAGTGCCCAGCCTGGCCTAGAAGCAGCCAAAGGAAAATGAAGGGTATGGTTAGCCTCTCCAGCTGCATGACCACCTGCCCCCTTAATATTTTCCTGTGGACACAGATGGTACCACCAAACCCTCAGGCACTAGTTTCAAAGATTGAGGTCAGCAGTTAGCTGCCAGCAGTTTGGGATGAGAGAGGGAAAGCTCAGCTGTTATCACTCCTGAGCCACTGTTTTCTAAGAAAAGCGACAAGTCTGAAAAAATATAAAAAAAAAAATGGATATGAAGCATTTTGTTTCCAGAGAATATCAAACCAAGGCAAGTGAAATCTATAGAGGTGTAGACACTGCAAATCTTGATCATATCTTACAATTCATTCTCACTGAAGATTACAAAGTGATTTTCCTCACAATAAACGACTGAGGTAGGTCAAATATTAAAAGGCAGGAATTGTGGTGTGATGTAGGTCTTGGGTTCAGATCCTGGACCTGCAACCTAGCTATATAAGCTTAGGCAAGTCCCTTTATTTGTTCTTTCTGCATCTTGGTTTCTACCTCTGCAAAATGAAGGGGCTAGATCAATAAGGTCTCTCCTAGAACTGATTGCTATTTTCATCCTTATTTCATGAATGAGAAAACTGAGGCTCAGAAAGGTAGTTTCCCAATAGAATAGACAGAACCACAGACTTCTGAGGTGGGATGTTCTTGCTCTATAAAATAATATTTGGTATGGCAATGAATAAATAAATTAATTTAGGTAGAACTGTTATTTTTATTTTATTGGCTTGGCCTACCCATGAACAATTGATCTTTCCAATTGTTTAGCTCTCCCTTTATTTGTGTGCAAAGTGTTTGTGGGATACTCTTAAGAGATTATCTAGTTCAAACCCTTTATTTTACATAGGGGGAAACTGAGGCTCACAGATATTAAAGTGACTTCTCCAAGTCACACACACAGAGGAGCTGAACCAAGATCCTCTCATTCTCAGCCCTGTGCCCTTTCCACTGCACACCTCTGCAGGTGCCTAGTTATCAAACGATCCTGTTATGGTAACTAGAGTGCCCCAAAGGCTGAATCTTGGGCACCTGTGTGGCCTTGGGCAAGTCACATAAACTCCTCTGAGCCTTAGCAAGAATTTGTGAAGTACCAACTTTATGAATGGAAAAATCTCTGGACTCACGAAGTTTACTGTATAGAATAAGTTTTTTTGTTTTGTTTTGTTTTTTCAGGAAGTGGGACTTGATTTGTGCTCTACAGCATGTCCCAGGTTCAGTTTAAAACTTCAATAGCTTAAATGTGCACTAAGAATTTTTAGGACACCCAATGTCTCTCTTGTAACAAATTTTCTTAAATCTTCTGATTTACTGGGCTTAACAGGACATAAACTTCTGTCCAAAACCTGTATTATTTCCTACTCAATGCCTATATGGATCTCAAGATAATTTTACAGAGCTGGCTTACATATTTTCTCTAATAGGTATACATATACATATACATATACACACATATACACACACACACACACACACATATATATATATATATATATACTTATACATATATTAGAGAGAAATGACAGAAAAGTAGATCAATAGATAAGTTAGAATAGTCTGGATCAACTAAACAAATAGGTAGACATATGATATGATTGATATATATGTATCTATCTTTATATAAAATGTGAAACACTCTGCATATATTATTTCATTCAATCCTCACAACAACCTTGTGAAAGAGCTGCTACGATTGTTCCCATTTTATAGGTGAGGAAATTGAAGGTAAAATAGGTAAGTAATTTGCCTAGGATCACATAGCTAATAAGTGTCCAAAGCAGGATTTGAACTCAAATCTTCCTGACTCCAAGATCAGTTCTCTATCCATGACATGTACATATCTCAGCTTTGGCCTTGTGTTCATTGACTTAGAACTATAAATAGGTATTTCTATGTAATAGTGAAGGTATCAACCTGTTTTCACTTACAACTTGATTCAAGAAACACTAATAAATTGCCTACTCTGTGCAGGGTACCATGCTAGACGATGAGTTATATGGCCCAAAATGGAAAAATCCCTACTCTCAGGATCTACCATTTGTATTTTCATGTTTTTGAAGACACCTATGGTCCCAGCTAGGTGGCACAATGGATTAAGTTCTGGGCCCAGAGTCAGGAAGACCTGAGTTCAAATCTGGCCTCAGACACTAGCTATGTGACCCTGGGTAAGTCACTTAACCTTCTTTGCCTCAGTTTCCTCATCTGCAAAATGAGCTGGAGAAGGAAATGGCAAACCACTCCAGTATCTTTGCCAAGAAAACCCCATGGACAGTATGGTCCCCAGAGTCACAAAGAGTGAGACACAACTAAAGAACTGGACAACAATGGTCCCAGAGGCCCTTATGCTCTTAAAAATAAAGACCTCACATTAAGGAAAGTCCAGTCTAATGAGAAAGGATTATCAGTTTAGAACTGGAAGAGTCCAGTTAGTCTAGTCAATTTACAAAATGAGAAAACTGAGGCTCAAAGAAGTTTATGTGACTTCAAGGTCACACAGGTTACCTTAATTCAAATCTATATCCTGTGACTCCAAATGCAGTGCTCCACGCTTTTCCAAAGAGAACAGCTGGATTCAGAGCTAAAATGGCCCATGGAGATCATCTGCTTCTATCACTTACCTTCCAGATAAGGAAACTGAGACCAAGAAGTGGAAAATGATTTTTCCTAGGTCTAGTTAGTAAACAAATAATTAGCTGCAGATTTGGAATTCAACCTTAGTTCTTTTGAGTGAAGCCCCTTCTGCCAACAAATCCAATCAACTAATTATGCATTAAGTTTCTGCTATGTGTATACCATACATGTTAAAGAAACAAAGACAAAATAAAAACCAATTCCTGCTGTTAAAGAGCTTACCGTCTACTGGGTGTACACAATACATAAGGAGATAAGTATATGCATAATAATTTGAAGAGGAAAGAGTAAGCATTATCAACTAAGGGGAACGGGGAAAGGGACTTGTAAGAGAGGGAATATGAGTGGAACTAAAGTCAGTTTTGAGATATGCTGCAAAGGAAAGCAGGCAAGAAAAGGGATCTGAATCAAAAATAAATAAAGATAGCACTCTTTTCTCCCTTCCTTCCTTCCTTCTCTCTCTCCCTCTCGCTTTCTTTTTCTATCTTTCTTCTCTTTTATCTTTCTCTTCTTCCTTCCCTTATTCCCTTCCTTCCTATCTTCCTTCTTTCTCTCTTCCTCCCTTCCTTCCACCTTCCCTCCTTCCCTCCTTTCCTTTCTTCCTTACTTCCTCCCTTCCTCCTTCCCTTCCTTCCTGACCTTCTATACTATTCTCTTCAATTAAACTTAACAAGCATTTCTTAGATACCCACAATATATACTGTGCTAGGTCCTGAGGATACAGAAACAAAAATGAAATAGTCTGTCCACAAGTAGCTTACATTCTGTATAATTTTGTGCCACCCTCAGTAAACAAGGGGAAAACTTGCTTCAAACGGTAGATGCTACCATTTATAAGATAACCACATAGAGGAAAAGTAATGTCAAATTTATTTTCAAAATTATTGCTTCATTACAGCCTAATACTTTTTTCCCTTCCTGTCTTTACAGGCAGAACTGACATTTTGTACAGGAGACATCATTACTGTGTTTGGTGAAATTGATGAAGATGGATTTTACTATGTAAGTTTTTGATATACCAAAAGAGATTATTCTTAGGGGGTGTGTGTGTGTGTGTGTGTGTTGCGTCCTGAAATGAGAGAGACTCATTTGAACTACAGAAAATCTAGTTAACAAATTTTGCCTATTTTTTTTGGTTACCTCTATTTGATCTAGGAAGACCTGGGTTCAAGTCTGTTTCTGACACATATTGTCTGTGTGACCCTATACAAGTCACTCAAACTCTCTGTGCTCTAGGAAACCTTCTAAGATGCAGAGAAGGCACAACTTGGGGACACGGAGAGAGGGGAGAGGAAGGAAGAGAGAGAGAGAGAGAGAGAGAGACAGAGACACAGAGAGACAGAGGAGGGGAGAGGAGGGAGAGAGAGACAGAAAGAGAGAGTGGAGAACTGAGAGAAAGAAGAGGACAGAGACAGCAGGGAGAGATGGGGAGAGAGGAAAGGGAAAGGGTAGGAAGAGAAAGAGAGAGAGGAAGAAGAAAGAAAATGAAAAAGAGATAATTCCTGTTTCATTACGATAATATATCCATTCTTTGGTTTCTTTGTAACATGGCTAATGTGGAAATGATTTTGCATGACTGCACATTTATAATCTATATCGAATTGCTTGCCTTCTCAAAGAGGGGGGATGGAAAGGAGGAAGGGAGAGATTTTGGAACTCAAAATTTTCAAATGAATGTTAAAAATTTTTGCTTCCATGTAATTGGGAAAAAATAAATTTAAAATTAAATGTAAAAAATATATATCCATTGTGGAACTGAAATATCTATGTTATTCATTTACATATATATGTTTATTTTCTATTTTAATTTAATTTTGAAAACACTTATTAAGCACTTACAACGTACTAGCTGAAAGGCAATGTAGTGTGATGGGTAGAGAGCTAACCTCAGAGCCAGGAAGACGGAGATTCAAGTCTGGCCTCTGACACGTATTGCCTGTGTGACCCTGGCCAGGTCATAGCCTCTCAGCAGCCGTCAGGCCACTCTCTAAGACTCTAAGTTGTAGAGAAGGTGCCAATCCTCATGGTGGAGGGAGTTTTTATACCAAGAAAATCACAGGTCTGATCTAAGAACAACAATAATGTGTGTCAGCCACTGTACTAAACACTAGAGATAAAAGAAAAAACCGCAAAAGGGGTCATGAAGAGTCAGACACAACTTAAACAACTTAACAATAACAACAACACATAGTGTTGTACAAAAACGATTTCATTTTATCCTAACCGTAGCCTTAGGAGGCAGGTGCTATCCTTGTCACCATTTTGCCAAGAAGGAGACTGAGACTTGGCCAGGGTCACACACAGCTGGTAAGTATATGAGGCAGGAAATGACGTCAGGTGTGTGGCCCTGGTAAAGTCACCTTTCCCTGTTTCCCTCAGTTTCTTCATCTGTAAAATGGGCTGGAGAAGTAAATTGCAAACCACTCTAGTATCTTTGCCAAGAAAACCGCAAAAGGGGTCATGAAGAGTCAGACACAACTTAAACAACTTAACAATAACAACAACACATAGTGTTGTACAAAAACGATTTCATTTTATCCTAACCGTAGCCTTAGGAGGCAGGTGCTATCATTGTCACCATTTTGCCAGGGTCACACACCGCTGGTAAGTATATGAGGCAGGAAATGACGTCAGGTCTTCCTGACTCCAGGTCCCGCACCGTATCCACTGCACCACCTGAGTATTTCCTGTGTCCTGAACACTGTGTTCAGAACCGGAGATACAAAAAAAGAAGCAGAGACAGTCTGTGACCTCAAAGAGCTTACGTTTAGACCAGTTCCATGCGAGGAGGTGGTGGCCAGGGAAAGGCACTTTTGTTAGAATGTTATATATTATAGAATAGATAATATCCTCCATTAAAGTCCACCCCAGTCCCCTCATGCAAGTGACATTGCCTCTTGACAGCTACTGTCACTGGAGATCCATTAATTGTTAGATTAATGTTAGAGAGGGATTAATAAACCAGTAAAGGTTTCTAGTGGGTGCCCGGGGGTAGCCTGTCATCTGAGGATCAACTTGTAGAGACTCCTGACCTGAAGGCTGGCTAACAGCGGGTGCATATTTCTGTGGCCTCGGTATCTCCTATAACCGTCTCATCTGGTACAAAGAGATTTTTGACACACATCAATACAGGTTGCCCCCATGCTAACAAAATCACACTCTCAGGTCCTTGAAGGAGTCAAGTAATTGATATGCTTTTTAGAGTCATACTTATTTATTAAAAAGATTTACGTACATCAGATAAAACTCATTACTCTTACAGTTTACATTCATGTGCGATTTGGTTCCACGTCACTTAAAATACACGTAAGCTGTCAAAATGAACTTATCTAGGGGCAGCTAGGTGGTGCAGTGGATACAGCAGCAGCCCTGAAGTCAGGAGATCCTGAGTTCAAATCCGGCCTCAGACCAAACACTTGAGACTTCCTAGCTACGTGACCCTGGGCAAGTCACTTAACCCCAATTACCTTAAAAAAAAATGAACTTATCTTGATGTCAGAGAAGTACAGGTATTCACAGAAAGGAACATCAAATACCCAGTCCATCAACCCCCTCTTTTTTCAGCTGAGGAAAGTGAGGACCAGAGAGGTTAAGTGATTTGCCCATGGTCACTATAAGTCACCATTATTAAGCAGCACTTGAGTGGCAGGACATTGAAATGCTTCTGGAATTGGCCTTTTTCATCTGTGGTGGGGCTAAGTGGCCAGAAACTGTCAATGACTTCATGTCCATTCATTCACATTTTCAAGTCTAAAATAGTATCTCTAAGGTATTGTGGACTATTGCTCAATTAACCTGATACTTTAAAATAGTCAAATGTTCAAATAGAGGTTTTTTAAAAAAAAACAAATGTAAATATAATCATGGTGGTGCACTGGATGGAATGCCAGGCCTAAGGTCAGGAAGACTCATCTTCATGGCTCAGACACTCAGATGATGGCCTCAGAGGCTCACCAGCTGTGTGACCCTGGGCAAGTCTCTTGATCTTGTTTGCCTCAGTGTTCTCATCTATAAAATGAGCTGGTGAAGGACATGGCAAACCGCTCCAGTATCTTTGCCAAGGAAACCCCAAATGGGGTCACAAAGAGTCGGACATGACTGAAATCACTGAATGGAAACAAAAATATATTTATAAGTATAGTGTATAAGGAGTTGGTCTCAGGGTCAGGAAAACCTAGGTTTAACTCTCACCTCTGATGCATGGCTGTGTGGCTAAGACCATGTTACTTAATACCTCAATACCCCCAGGCACCTCTTGAGTGTAAGTTGGAGAAAACAAAAAACAAACAAAAAATAATATAAATAAGTTTTGAGGTTTTTTAAAGTATAAATTGAGACTAGTTGACCATCTGCTCTGGTAGGGGTTTTTTTCATCAGCATTTCCCTACACCGATGAAATCACAAGCCTGGACTAAATAATAACAATACTATTGATAATAATGATGCCACTTGGATTAACAAGACTTTTTAAGAATTAAGAGGAAACAAAACCTTAACCTTAGAAGACAATAATTAATGACTTCTCTCTCTTCCCATATAACATGTTTCTATGTCATAGGGAGAGCTCAATGGACAAAAGGGCCTGGTTCCTTCAAACTTTCTGGAAGAAGTGCCTGATGACGTCGAAGTCTACCTTTCGGATACACCGTCCCGTTATTCTCAAGATGCCCCAATGCGTACCAAGGCTAAAAGGGTAAGCAGTTGTATTACATATTTTAATATACGTTCCAGTCTTTCATAATATGTTGTCTCATGCTTTTTTACACACGGACATTTTACACTTTGGGTTTGGGAGTGGGGTGGGTGAAATGTACCACCTGAAACATTGCAACGTGTTCTTCTGCTAGTTGCTCGGTGTTGGTTTCTTACTGAATCTAACATTTTAAGCTATATTTTATTTGCTTTACCAAGCAGTTCCATTTTAATTCTAATTTGGTCAATTTTTATTCATGAAAGAGCTTCCCATGTCTTACATAGACCATAAAACAGAAAGTATAATAAACTACAAAAGGATAATAGCTCTTCTTTATGGAGAAAACTTAAATTGATTTGGTGAGCAATGGTTGCTATTTGCTTGCCTTCCATTAAGGCTTATCAATCCCCCTCTAACATTAACATTAGTATACTATTTCCAATACTTTTTTTTATCTGAGATTACATTCGTGTTGAGTGTTTCATCTTTATTTTGTTTCATCACTTCAAGTTTTTCTATATTATATATTTTATATATATTTTTATTTCTTTGCTCATCTGCTTGGAAACAGAAGAAGAGTGTTCATTTCACACCTTAATAAGGCAATGTAGCCTTCACGTAAGTGAGCAACTGAAGATACCAATAAAGATACCAATTTAAGCTACCTTGCAATATCTAATGCAGTAGTCTTAAGACTTAACTGTGGGATTCAGAAAAAGAAATATGTCTCAAAAAATCATTGGCCCAAAAATCTGAGGATGTTGCTTTTTCTCAGTTATGAAGCTTAAATGAATTTGTCATAAAACAAATTCTCTTGTGTCTATTTCTCACTACCATATTATAACAAATTCATGAAAAGGTCAACATTGGGAACATATTTCTTAATGAAGAAAGCATTTCTGTTTATGTAGAGAAGTGTTCCAATGTCTAACGATTCTAAAAAGCAAAAGCTGCAGATTGCATTGTTAGCCAATCCCTGGAAAAAAAGGCACAATCTATTACTTGTAAAGACTTTTACCCACCCCTCCAAAAAATTCATAAGAAAGGTTATAATTCACATGAATAGTTTAATTAAGTTGGCCTGGAGTTGTCTCATAACACTAGCAACCTCAAATCCTGGCTGGAACTACCTAGAAATGTTTTCTTAGGCAGTTCGACTTCTGTACTACAAAAATGTGATGATATGTAGCCCATAACAGGCATTTAAAAAACAAAGAAACAAACCAACCAGCCTCTGAGAGTCCCTGAATAGTGTTTGGTTTACCAATGCAATGTTAACTGTCATGGATGATGCAGCTCAGTGGATGAATGCATTAGGCTAAATACATGGTATCTTCAGGTGTACTTGGGATGCTTTACTAAGTTGTTTTCCATTAGAATTAGGCCTTGATTTTAAATCCAAGGAAGCTTGAAGACCCTTGGCTAAATTTTCTTTTCTGTAGGAACATTTTGTATTCGAATAAGGTCTGGCCTGAAATAATAAGGGTTATGGGGAAAGTGAATTCTATTACGTACATTAAAATGTGCTTTGGTATAGCCTCCTTTAGGCAAACAGTAACTGCATTATATGATCAGAATGAAAGAATTCTATCGATGGGGTTAAAGGACTGATGTTATATTATACTTAAAATATACTGAAATGCTCTCAAGTTCTACGCACTGGGAAAAACTCATTTTCACTTTGAAATATACAAAGCACACTTTCAAAACAATAAGGGCCTTTAAGTTTTCTTTGATTGCAATTAAGGTTCATTTTAGTTTTTTTTTTCTTTTTAACCAATGTGCCATCTCTCTCCAATATGTACATATAGCACAGTAAATTGTGCAAAATGGATTCAAGAACATCAGAATTTTACATCATCAAATAGTGTTTTTGTTTTGTTTTGTTTGTTTTGAATACAATAGGAATTCCTCCGGGAAACTTTTGCTCCCAAGATTCAGTTGCTGGTATTAGCCCATTGTACTTATCCTGGGCTAACTGCTATGTTGATTCAAAAAACTCAAATGATCATTTGCCGAAATTTTCTTTTTTTTTTTCTTTTGCCATTACTTTGGCAAAATGAAATGTGGCAATTGCTCAGAACCATTAGGTCCCCAAAGCATGTGTCTTACCGCTTGGTGGCCGCTGTGCTTTGGGAGGTGATGCTTATGTGTAACTTGCCTTTGGTATATTTTAAGCCACTAATAGAAGACGTGAGCCTCTTTGCCCCCTTTTGGTGGGAAATGGGACCTTAAGATGTTACCCCCACTGAAATGATGTTGTTGGCTTTCAAACATTCAATAAACTGTCACAATATACCTAATAGGTTCCTCCTGAGAATACAGGTACGTCAAGGAGAGCACCATCCCCCACAGTCCATCTCCATTCTGGGTCACCTCCGTCATCTATGGGTTCTGGTAGTCCTGGGAGAGGCAGGGAAAGGGCCTCGAAAAAGAAAAAGGGTCTGCTTTCCAAAGGGAAGAAACTTCTGAGAAAACTGGGTGCAGTGAAGTGACCCATGTGCTTCTGGACGACTTGTAACGCCTGGCCTATGTAATTTCCTTTCATCCCAAACTAGGGCTTTCATGACTCTCTAAAGTACTTTCTAAAACCATCTCCGTTTTTCTCCCCCTTCCTTTCTGACACCAGTAGGGGAAAAAAAATGCAATTTTGCACTATGGTTCACTTTAACTGACTGCAAGAGTAAAGTGGGCCTGTTGTTCTTTCCAAGTCATTGTTGCCAATCTGCTCTGATTTTCCAAAGTATGATTTGTGGGGGAGGGGGGAACCATTAAACAACAGGTGGATGAACAGCTACTGGGGTAGCCCACTCCCCACCTACAATATCTCATCTTTCTGCATTTGTTACCTGCCCTTAAAGGGATGACTTTCAAGTTTCTCTTTTTCCAAATGCTTGCCTCATGATGCGTAAATGTCACTTAACTATGGTCTTGAAATTCCTAGTTTATTCAGCCTTGATGTTCTGCCTTATAAAATGCACAGTGATTTGTACTGTCTAGTAAATATACAGTGTATACTTTGTATGTGTTCTACATTCAAATGTCTTCATTCTCATTGAAACACGAGTTTGAAATCGAGTAACCTATTACTGGTTCCATTTAACGTCTGTAATTTGGGGGAAAAAAAAGAAAAAGGAAAAAGAAAAGTTATTTTATTTCAATTTTATTTTAGACATTGGCCTGAGTTCACTGATTGGGGAAAAAAAAGAATTCCACATACAACTTAATCATAGAGTTCTCATACCCTATCAATACACTTTGTAAAACCTACTTTGGGCTACTCTCCTCCATGTAATGTCCAAGTCCTCCAACCTGCTGGAAAACAGGCATTTTTGCCCCTTCTGTGTTCTTCTGTAGCTGTGCAAGCTTTGGTTCAACCATTTTTCATTTTATTGATGTCAGTGTGAAATACACAGAAATGGGCTTGTCAGTGAGGTGTCATGTGTGCATGTGTGTCAAAAATGCTATACCAGGCACAAAAGGCAGAAAGAAGGCATCCTAAAATGCTGAGCCCCACCTGCTTCCATGCCCATTTTTCAGTATTGGCATCTCCTGAACAAAAGCGGTCTTACCAGTCGCTGGCCAGTCCTTTTGGCAGTAACTCTTTTGTAACTCTTGTCCCCTTGAAAATTGTTTTTACTGTTTATATACACTTTTCAGACTGCCTTTCTTTTGTAACTTATGAAAGGTTTATAAATGATCAAAGCTTCCCCCCATTGTGTCTTCAAAGAACTCGACTGTAAATTATTGTAAAAAAAAAAAGCAATTATTTGTGTGTGCTAGATGTATGAAATTCAAGACAACTACTGGCCTGAACTTGTGGTTAAATATTGTGTGGGTGTGTGCATGTGTACAGTTCATGTAAAATATTTTATGTAAATAAAATATTTGATATTTTATACAATGTTGTTGAGACCACTCTTTGTATTTGTGGGAGGCTTGCTCATTGATGTTGTATAACTATGTCATATACATAAATACACACAATAAAGGAAGGGGAATGCTCTTCTTTCAAGTAGAAAGAGGGACTCTTGAGTATTTCTAGGCATAACTGTGTTTTAAATATAATCAGGTTTTTTTTTGTAATCCTATGGATTTTATTTTATGTGTTTAAAAACATTATCCTTGAGGAATGTGTAGGCTTCATCAGACTGCCAATGGGGTCCATGACACACAAAAATATTAATGCTGCAAGTATTTCTGAAATATGTGCTCCACCAATGCACGATCATTGTAAGAGATCCAGTTAGAGACATATAAATGAAGGCATAACTAGTAATTTATGTTTCCCAGGACAAGTGGCACAGAAACAAAACTCCCCAGAGGATTAGGGAGGAGGCAGCAGCAGGGGATCAAGGAAGAGTTCACTTGCACCACAGCCATGGGAATGCCTGCTGGGAGCATCTTTTTTTTTCCTTGTTATTTCTTGATAATGAGGTGTGAAAGTAAGCAGTTTCTGTGTTTTTGAAGAGCTACCAGTGTCATTTTAATGTTGGCACCCTAGCTGAGTCAAAGCCCCAGTCAATCTGCCCTAGTTAAGGCTCTGATTAAAGGCAATGGTGACCAGAAACCTGAAAAGGTTCCTCTTTGCACTGTAGCATGATCTGATCCCCAACTACCAAGATGTCAGTTAAGGTCTTGGTGGGTTGAAGAGAAACAATTCATGGCTCCATCTAAAAAGATCCATGAAGAGATTTTTGTCTTAGCTCACCTAATTCAATTTATGCTACTGGATAATGCTTTGTCTAAGGTCTCCATATATGGGGGATGAAGGGTAGGCCCATCACTAGGTCATAGGGGATGATTGTTTGGGACAGCCCAGGTTGGGTAGAGGGGAATTTCTGACTCAGAAAAGGAAGGAAAAATTATTTGGCTCCAAGAAAATGATCATTTACATCTAACTAAATGAAATACAGAAAACATTGGGCAAACCAAGTAAGACACTGTTAGGCGCTTGGAAATACAAAGAAAAGGGGAAATATTCCCTGCTCTCCAGGGTTCACATTCTACTGTGGGTCACATGTAAATAGGTATGTACTTATAATACTAATAACTTGGAGGACAAAGCTTCTAATAACAGAGCATGAAGAGATTTGAAGGCAACCAGGAATTCTAAGAGGTAGCAGTGAGGTAAGAATGCATTCTAGACATGAAAGACAACCTTCAGAGTGGGCAAAGGTATGGAGGAAGGAGACAGAAGACAAGTGCTGTATGCAAGTAGGCCAGTCTAGGTCGACACGGGATACATGAAACGAAGTGGTGTGTAATAAGGCTCATATGGCTGTAGATAACTAGAAAAGCTTGGGAAAGAGGGAGTGTACTTCCTGACTGGCCTCAGGTGCCAGCCAGAGGGTTGGGGCAGGTTCTAGGGATGAATGTAATAATTCACATCAGGTATAGAAAGAACTCTTAGCCATTTCGGTTCTGCCTCCCTAAAGCAATCCACACTACCTGTCTTGAAAGGTTTATTCCTGTCCTACATTTTGGGGCTCAAATTTTGCAGCTGGGAACTATCCTTTGAAGCCTGACTCAAATGCTGCCTCTTCTCGGAAATCTCCCTACTTCTATGTTTTCTGGAATGTGATTTTACTCACACCTCTTTAATATACTCAAGGAATGGGATCAAGGGTACAGGTAGAAGGTTGATTGGATTTGGTGAGGAGGACCACATCTTTATCAGAGACTGATACAAAGGAGAAAAGAATGGGAGATAACGTAAAGGGCTAGAGAGACCGGGAGAAAATGGAGCTCCTGGTGAATGGTCTCTATTTTCTTAGTAGAGTGTGAGGTGAGAGTCTATAGGCGTGAGGGTTAGTGCAACAGAGTGGACAGGAGGTTTGAGGGCAGAAGAAGAAGTCTGGAATAGTATCTGTGGAAGCAGGGTAGAGAATCATTGCAGTCAAAACGACTTAGTCACTCAAAGTCATTCTTAAAACAATACTGCTATTATTGTATACAATGTTCTCTTGGTTCTCTTCACTGCACCCTTCACCATATCATGCAAGTTTTTGCATGCTATTCTAAGATCATTGAGCTCATCATTTCTTATAGCACAGTAATATTCCATCACAACCACACACCACAACTTGTTCAGCCATTCTCCAATTGATGGGGATCCCTGCAATTTCCAGTTCTTTGACACCACAAAGAGAGCTGCTCTGGGGGCAGCTAGGTGGCGCAGTGGATAGAACACCAGCCCTGAAGTCTGGAGGACCTGAGTTCAAATCTGGCCTCAGACCAAACACTTGACACTTATTAGCTGTGTGACCCTGGACAAGTCACTTAACCCCAATTGCCAAAAAAAAAAAAAACCTGCTCTAAACATCCCATCCACTTTTAGTTATTACTATTTATGAATTTCTCTCTATCTTATTCTATTTTCTTTCTCAACCTTATTTTACCCTATCCCTGTTACAATATCTTCTTCCCCCACCCTCCCACCCCCTACTTCACCCACCTCTCCAAGAGTCCCCCAACCCTTCCCCCACCCCCAATCTCAATCTACACACCCCTCTAAAAGTCCCTCCTCCACCCTATCCCCCAGTTTTCTCACCTCTCTACATGTTCAGAAGACTTCTACACCCTTCTAGATGTACACGTTGTTTCCTTTTCAACCCAGATAAGAGTAAGGTTCCAATATTACCGGCCCTACACCTCCTCCCATCAGCTGCTTCCTCTGTATTAGTTTTTATATCCCATTTTTTATAATTGCTCGTTTTACATTTTCCTACCCAATTTGGTTTTGTAGCATCATTCCATCATACACAATTCAGCCCCAACCTTTCTTTCAAACTACCTTAGTAATGATGACAGTTTTAAGAATACTGATAACATTTTCATATATATAAGTAAATATTTTGACCTTAATGAGTACCTTATAATTAGTCTTTAATGTTTTCCTTATATTTCTCTTATATCAAATTTTTCCATTGAGTTCTGGTCTTTTGTTAAAAATACCTTTAAGTTCCTCAATTCCTCAAATTTCCAGTTTTTAAAATTCAGAATTATACTCAACTTTGCTAGGTAAATTATTCTTGGATGCAATTCCAGCTCTTTTGCTCTTTGAAATATAATGTTCTAAGACCTACAGTCTTTGAGAGTAGAAGCTACTAAGTCTTGTGAAATCCTGACCTTATTTCTGCAGCATTTAAATTGTATTTTGTTTTGTTTTGTTTTTCTTGCTGCTTGTGGTATTTTCTCCTTAACCTGGGAGTTCTGAAACTTGGCTATGACATTGCAGTAAGTTTTTCTCCTGTGATCTATTTTGGGTGGTGAACAACAGATTTTTTTTTTCTATTTCTGCTTTTCCCTCTTGTTTTAGAACTTCAGGGCAATTTTCCTTAATAATTTCTTGTAATCTTGTATCCAGATATTTTTTTTTTTGATCATAACTTTCAGGT